AGGTTTTGATGTCTGGTAGATCATTTGAATCCACATTGTTTTTAGCCTCTCATGAAGTGGGTGTTATTCACCCACAGCTGTGTTGTGTTCAATGTACAGTATTATGGACCTGGGGGCTGTTTCAGTATGTTAATTTGTATGTCAAATAACATCTTGGATGAGTTCTAATGTATTGTTATCTCAATGTGTAATGCATTCTATCTGTATGGGAGTTGCATGTGTTTTGGCTTGATCCAACATGGACTGACTGGGATTCAAATGATTTACACATCAGAACCTTCAACTCAATACGAGGAATTAACGTCACATCTCCATAATTTTATAACACTGTTTTCATATTTTTAATACCTTTACATTTTTAGTTATTTTACTCATGTAATACCTAACACTTTATTCATATTACAAAATCCTATATTTGTAATATACAACACCCTTTAATTACCTCCACTAATGTTTTAAATACAAATTCTTGTATACTCTAATGTTCATAATTCTTTTTCTATATTGTAATTTTCATCATAACACAAGGCACAGATTTCTACAACTTTTACGACATGGATGCACTGCACCACAATAAAAGTCCATATTCAGATTTCGATGAACTTTACTGCATCAATTATATACGATGTCTGATGATGGTCCCATGAGGACTGGAACATGTAGTAGTAAACAATAAAATTCAGTCTATGAGATGCTGATTTTAATTGTGATACCATTTTCCTTGTTGTGTTGATGGATATATTACCTAATCATATAATAATACTACTGTAATGTGCAAAAAGTTGAAAATGAATTGAACAGACTGACAGCGCAAAAAATACAGAAACAAAAACGATTAATAAAAGAAACAGATTAACTAGGCATGGTATCATATTTGCCAGTCTAGCCAAGCGAATGCTAGGAGCGTACCCTGAAACAGACTACAGCCACATTCTTCTTCAACCTTTTTCTATCCTCAGGTACAATCAACATCTCATCTTATTGACACCACATAAAAGCAGCAGTTGATAAACCAAGAACTATATTTGCATTTCTATACATATAGTTAACTGCTCAAACACATATTTTAAAATTATCCTCCAAAGTTATGGTATAAAGAAAACCAAATTTTCTCTACATTCTATCATTCTCATTTCCCTGATTTTACATTTATTTTAGTCAGTCCCTTAAGAAGTGTAAAATTGAGGTTTCACTGTATAATCTAACACAATTTCTCACATGTCAGATAGGAATCATAAACTAATCACAAGATGGAACATATACATACCCACTATATTAATGAGGTATCCCAACTAAAATGAACGTGTTCCTTTTCTTTCTACAGTATATATATATTTTAAACTGCCCATAGACATATCACATAATTACAATTTTAAGAATTCCCATGAAAAGGTGAGGTATGCCTCTAAGTTGGCAAGTGATCTCAAGTAAAAACATCTTACTCGAAAACAGTCTTAGTACTTTTGGGACACAACAGACAGCTGCACAGTTATGTGAAACTGGAATTAATCTTCGAAATACAAACACAGAAATCAACTGTAAAACCACTGTCAAACAGTATGAGGAAGTATGCAACATTTGCTGCACTCTGAAATAACTGAAAATGGGAATATCATGCATCCCCCCCTCGCATAAAGAAAAACATGCAACATCAATAAACATAAACTTGTGGCTTGAAGCAGAAGCTTGTGACTTATCACAAAATTAAATTCATAAAGGTACTGTTCTGTCATCCATGCCACATTAAAGGCAGACGCATTTGTTAATTACGTATGATGAAATAAGACACACTAAAAACATCAACGGGAAAGATGTAGTAACAAAAGCAGCATGGAGAAGAAAATACACAAAGCTGACAACAAGGCAGAACAAAAATTCCACCAAACCTGAGCAGTTCGTTTAGTGAGCATAATTTTTAATAATTATTTTCTGTGAATGTTGATTGTTGTGGTTTGTGCTCTACCACGATTCCCTCCAGTTGCCGTCGTGAAACAACGGCACTCGAGAGACATCGATATCGGGTGACGTTTCTGCAAAATACCGACCAATACCTCAGCAGGATAAGGAAGTGTTGACGAATAACCAATTTAAAGTACAATTAGGAATTGCCCAATAGGTAATCAAATATGAAATCCAGACATAAATACAAAAGCACAAAGAAACTGAGTTTCAGCTAGCCACCTGGAAGGACAGCTATCAACCACTAAACAAGTTGACGTTCCTAGTGTACTACCATCCATAGCAGCAATTAACGAAAGGAATGCTAAAGTTCTGCTGTGAAAAACTAAAAATATCACATACCAGGAAATCCTTGTGTGGGTTGTCCTGGGACAGAGTACTGTGGCCGGAAACTGGCAAAGTTAGCAGTGGCAAAACCAGCTGGAAGTTGGCCAGCTTGGAAGCCCCCTGGGAACTGACTGCTCAGCAAACCTAAAATAAAAATGATTCCGATTAATAACAAGTTAAGATGTAGAGACTGTTTATCTACTAAGCAACTACTGATGTCACCAAACAATGAAATTAAACCTTCAATGCCTGCATAAAATGATCATTGCTGGCTCACATAAAGAATTTGCAATATAAACATTTTATTTGATGGCCAGTACTGAAGGCAAAAAGGCTGTGCATCAAATGCCCTAACATATTCTCTTTGTATGCCATGGTGCAGCATTCTACAAACCAGTCACAACAAGCACTTTTTAGTGCATTTAGTATGTCACTCTCAAGGCATGTGGTAAAAACTTATATTGCAGCTCAGGCAGAAGTCTGGTCCACTGATCTGAGAACTGTGCTAATAAAATCTGCCCACATAAACATTACTGAAAAATAAATTCTGTACCTCATCACATACTCCACAAACCTCCACAAGGCCTCACAGAAAATATTTGTCTGTAGCTTACTTTACAATGCTGTCCATGTCTGGACTATACAGCAATAAATGGAACAATGAGTAATGAACTATGAACTTGAAAGGAAGCGAAAAAGGTCCAACTGTCACACTGTCCTGGCATATGCACAGAGGGACTGATGAAAACAATGAAAAACCTCAAGACAGCTGGTGTCCTGGTCAAAATTTGAATACAGCACCTCCCAAATATGAGTGTTGAGTGTTCCCAATATGCAAGCCCACTCAGTCTGGTAAATACTGTCATCTTCTTGGTCTATCCACAAAAGTGAAACATCTCACAACCCCCCTTCCCAAATTTGCACCTCCGCATGATCACATGTACACATGGGGAGGGTGTAAATAACAAAGGTTAAGGTCCCTATACTTAATTAAGCATCATGCCATGAGGGCAATGCTATCTTTCACACATAAGAAACAAAATTCATAATATTTTCAGTGGAAAATAAGGGTATATAAATTGTGTGAAAGGATACAATACACTTCCTGATTCACTCATCACTTGCTCATGGAACTGAGCCTTTCTTGAGAAGCCACCAACTGTGCAGCTACTCAAGAACAAACATCTTATGGAACACGAAGGTCCACTACCGTGTTCACAAGAGCCCTCCACGGGTCCCTATCCTGAGCCAGCTCAATCCAGTCCATACCATCCCATCCTATACCTCTAAGATCCATTTTGATATTGTTCACCCACCTACGTCTTGGTCCTCCTAGTCGTCTCTTTTCTTCTGGCTTTCCCACTAATATCTTATATGCATTCCTCTTCTCCCCCATTGTGCTATATGCCCTGCCCATCTCATCCTCCTTGACTTAAACATTCTACTTATACTTGGCGAAGAGTACAAGTTATGAAGCTCCTCATTATGTAGTTTTCTACAACTTTGCCTCACTTCATCTCTCTTCAGTCCAAATATTCTCATCAGCACCGTTTTCAAACACCCCCAGTCTATGATCCTCCCTTAATGTCAGAGGCCAAGTTTCACACCCATACAGAACCACAGGCAAAATTACAGCTTCGTATATTCCAATTTTTGTTTTTAGACAGCAGAGAAGACAAAAGATTCTGGACTGAATGGTAGCAAGCACTGCTTGAATTCTACCTCATCTTCTCCTAATTTCCTTTTGAATCAGGTTTTGATTTGTTGTCGTCATTCCCAAATATATGAACTGCACCGCGTTTTCAAAACATCTGTTACCTATCTTTATGTCATGATTTTTCCTGCATTCTAGTAATGACACAGCAACATATATTTAGTTTTCCCTCTGTTTACTTCTAGACCAACCTCCTTACTTGCATAAAATGAACTCTGCGTGTTCTTCATTATAGTATCTATATTATCACCCAGTAGATTCACGTCATTAGCATAGAGCAGCATCTGATATGTCTTATTTAATTTCAGTCCCACCTGTTTTCCTGGACCTTCCTAATAACATATTCTAAAGCAAAACTGAAAAGCAGTGGCGATAAATCACATCCTTGTTTCAGACCATTCTGGATAGGGAAATTATCAGACACATGGTTATCTATATGGACTTCACTAACAGTTTTGTTTAAACACATTTTAATCAGCCTAACTATTTTCATGGGTACCCCAAACTCTATCAGAATATTGTACAATACTTCCCTCCTAACTGAATCAGGCTTTCCTGAAGTCTAGAAATAGCTCATGTACTGTCTTGCTGTACTCCCATTTTTTTCTCCAGTATCTGATGAATGCAAAAAGATCTGCTCAGTAGTTGATCTGATATATCAAAACCCACACTGATGATCCCCAATAATTTCATCTGTACATGGACTTAACTTTGAGAGAAAAATACTGGATAAAAATCTGTATGAAGTTGATAGCAGTGATATCCCACAATAATTACTACAGTCAGTTTTATCACCCTTCTTGTGAACTGGTACAATAATAGACTCCTTCCACTGATCAGGCAATTTTTCCTTATGTTAAATAGAACTAATTAGCCTATGGATCTTAGAACGTAGTATTTCGCCTCCTGCTTGAATAAGGTCTGCTGGAATTTGATCACTACCTGGAGATTTATATCTTTTCAATTTTGCAATAGCAATTTCAACCTCAAAAGGCCTAGGATCAGGTACTAATGGCTCAGCTGTATGTATTTATATCTAACATCACTGATCCTATGTACTCATACATTCAAGAACTGAGAGTAGTAGTTCTTCCACCTATTCAAAAAGTTGTGGTGACCTGCAAACTGATCACCATTCTCATCCTTCACTAAGTTACTTCTAGGTTGGTAACCCCTCTTAAAGTCGTTCATTCCTCTATACAGGTCTCTGATGTTTTTGTTCTTTCTGTTCATTGTAAGCTCATCAATTTTGTCTTTCAGATATTTCCTCTTTTTATTCCTGAAATGCTTGCAGCTTTCACACCTCATATTGTCCAGATTATCCCCATTCATTTCGCTTGGACTGTGTAACCACTGCAATTTGGCTTCTTTCCTTTGGTCTAATAATTCTGAGCATTCTTCATCGAACCATGGCTTATGTTTCTTCAATTCATAATAACACAGACTCTCTTTGACAGAAATTTTGATAATCTCTCACATAATTTCCAAGGCTTTATTAACATCCTTCTCAGTGTCTACATTTTCTAAAGCTGCGTACCTATTTGAGATTTCAACACGACTTCCCTTTCCTTCTACCTTGTTTAATTTCTTGAGGCCAGTCCTTCCCTAACCTTTGCCATCATAAGGTGGTTGTCATTATGACAATCTGCTGCCCTCAATGATCAGACATCAAGTATACTTGAATGCTATCTCCTATCTATAAAAATATGGTCAATGTGGTTGTGCGTCTTTACATCAGGAGATGCCAAAGTAAATTTATGCACGTTACGATGTGGGAACATCATACTTTTGACAATAACTTTTTTGGATGTGGCAAAGTTTACTACTCTAACTCCATTATTATTACTAATTTCGTGTAAACTCTCATTCCCAATTGTTGGTTTCAAAATGTCTTCCCTACCTACTTTAGCACTGAAATCTCCTAAAAATATCTTCATATGGTATTAAGGGAATTTATCGAATACATGTTCTAATTCTTTGTAGAACCTGTCCTTCCTGATTCTGTAATGTTAAATAAATATTCAACACTTAGGCAACTGGACTAGTTACAACAGTGCAATGTAGGCCGGTGAAGGTTAACAGAGAATATTCACCTCATCATTAACTACTTTCAGTCCATTCAGACACACAACCATACACCATGAATGTTTTGCAAAATAAGCTGGGGATATTCTGTATACACCTATGTTAGAATGGATGTTTCATAAACTGGTTCATCAAAATCCTCAATTTTAAATGACAAAATCTGTTTCTGAGCAACTGCTATTTACTTAGCATTTTGCATGGAAAAATATTTGTCCATCTTACTGATTATCATATTTACCCGAACGGAAAACACCTCTCAACAAAGGAGAACATAAAATGTGATTTCATATATCAGTATTAATTTCATACAGCTATTAAAAGCAAACACATAAAAAGTAAATATTTTAAAATATACTATATAATACACATATTAAATAAATCGAATTTTTCTCGCATTCGCTGTCATCACCATTCGCAACTTAACTCCTACATTATAATATTTCAATGTGGGGAATTATGGTTTTTGATTAATCATTTTAGCAATACTTTCAGCACACATTTCTCCTTGTAGTTCCTGACCTTGAAACTTATTTCTAACCTTCTCACTTTTAAAAACAATGAAAAATACTTCACTTCAAATTCAAGACATAACTTTGCAGTTCTGAAAGTATGATTGAAGCTCCACCTTCCACTTGGGTATATATTGTGATGTGCTGCCTAAAAGCTGGACTGTGGAACATCCATCACAGAGCAAATGGTAAGGAGAACGCAATTTCAGTGTTCACTGCGGGTCAATGGGTAACATTTCTGAGACAACGGAATGTAATGCAATACTGGAATTCTAACAGTGAGTTTCCATGGTTACAACAAATTGTTCAAAGCGCTGTATGACAATGGGAAAACCAAACTGTTGAGAAAGGTGTTCCACAAGCCGTCTGCAAAAGGCCTATTTAAGGGGGATGAATGTACCAGATGGGACAGTTGAGTTCTAGCAGTCACTTCAACAAGATTAAATGTGCAAGAAGAATTGTGATGGTGAAGAAGAAACATCTAAGAGGATGTTATAGGTGATAATTATTTTACTTGTGACTGTAAAAGAGTGTGTCCAATAAATATTCGTTCAAATCTGGAAACCCAAGTGAATTATTGTCACGTTACCTAGGAAACACGTGACAATACGATAATTTATCTACCAATCCATCAACACTATGTTCTAATGCAATTTTAGTTTAATGAAGACACAGCTTTAGGAACAATGCAGGTCTGTTACAAAAGAAAGTGTACCTGCAGGTCCTTGCTGGGAGGTGGTGGGGGTAGTGGGAGTTGATCCAGCAGTGGTTGTTGCAGCCAGACGTGATAAGATAGATCTCTCTGACATCTGTAACCGCTGTGCCACTGGTGGGATCCGTGCCAGAGTGGCTGGAAGGCGACTCACATCTGATTTCATGTCTGACAAGAGTTCCTCCAGTTGGTTCAGAACCTACATTCAAAAGAAATATATCAGTCACCTGTTGCAAATACAGTAAAATCCTCACTAATCTGGTTACAGTTAACCTGGTTGAAATATGAAAAACTCTGTTCACAGTTGAGTACATACTTTAAAAGACACATGGGATTTAGGAGCACGAGGGCTTTTAGACTGTGCTGAGGGCAGCTGGAGAGAATGAAACCACACAAGAATATATCCAAGACTGGTTTGAGCTGGAAGGTGACCCTGGATTTCAGCTTCTGACAAAGGTAGAAATTGCTGCAGTCATATTCTTTTTATTTATTTATTTCCATCAGCACAACTTGTATTATTAAATTTTCCATTTATTTGTCTTCTGTGGTTTTTTGGTCTTTCAGGTTTATCTTTTACTTCATTAATCTGGATGACCTCTACCCTCCAATTAATCCGGATTAGCGAGGGTTTACTGTACCATTCAAATTTAATGAGAAGTCTACAGTACATCAAGGCCCAAATTTCAGATGTCTTCCAATATCACTGGATTTGAGAACAAAATTCAGGAAAATCTTAAATGGAGGAAATATGACGCTGAAATTATTGATTTGGAAACTGAATGTTACATGAGGGGAAACCTTGTACAGAGTAACAGTTTAAGGAGGTTCCATTGTACATTAACCCCTTAACAGAACTTACAGTCGAACAGGATCATCCAATGTAGTCCCAACAGGTCCAATTACTCTTAAAAAGAAAAATCACAGTGGAAATTTTATTACCACATAGACAAATTACAATTGCTGATATCTGTCTGGTCCATCTGGTGGAGGGCCAGCAACAAAGAAAAAGTAGCGAGCCATGAGTCTCGTTTAGGACTGCAACAAGCATTACGAGTGCCAGACTGAGTATGGGTTACAACCACAAAGGGTCTTTCAGAGCTTATTACTTCAATGGTTCTCAGCCTCTTCTGATTCATGGACCAGGAAAGCAGAAGGGCTAGTATTCACATTCTACACTAAAAATAATACAGTTTACAAATCTAATTATTACTAGCATATATAATTATGTTTATGAGCTTGGATATCCATATTCCATATAGTAACAGGCTACAGGGTGCACAGCCAGGGTTTGATTCCTGGCAGGGGCAAGACATTTCTCTATTCCATAGCACAGTATAATATTGAAAATTATTATTTTCAATAACTGCTTTCAAGCCTATCCCATTAAGGATAGATAGCTGGACAAGCAAGCATGCACGCACCCATGTGTGTGCACAATTTCAAATTACATGGGTTCAAATTTCTAAATTTATATCAATCAATGGACAGTTGAGACAGAATGACCCAAATTATGTGATAAGAATAACTGACTTCTGAAAATGAAGAGAACAGATGAAAGATGAAACAATTTCAGACTAAGAATACAGCTGTACTTCCAACACCACATGTATCTGTACCATCATCATTACAGTACCTTGTGAAGCACTGCATTGGCAGGCTTGTTTCCTGCCAAGCTTTCCTTCGATAGATGCTGGTGTGATTCTGCAAGGCACTCCACTTCAGCAAACCTAGCGTTCAGTGACATTGCAGGATGATTTGGGTCCTGCGTCAAGTTCAGATAGGCTGCTCTCCGTAACTGTTCCTCGATTACAAGTGCTTGTTCCAGGAGCTGCCAAAAGAGAAAGGGAAGACTTCAAAATATAAAACTAAATTTAACATTCCACATAATGCATACTTTAATGCAATGATGCTGTCATGACTCGGTGACTAGACACAGTGTTTGGACTGATAACTGGATTTATTGAATGTTTATAACTCAGTGACATATATCTATCTATAATAGCCTCAATTTACAAACTCTAAATCACAACTACAACACATACAGTCATTTGTTCACTAGTCATTGCTAAGTAACGGGGGCGAACAATGCAACTCAAGATTGCTAACTGGCGACTCTGACCTCTGGGTGGCTTCCAATCCAATTGGTCAGCCAGTTAAGTTGCTGATGGCCAGTGTCAGCACAGTCATTACTGGCTTCAGGCCTCCATGAGATCTGTGACCAAGATTTCTGTCCTCTTCAAGAGGATGACTGCCTACCACTACTCACTCCCCCTTCCCACACATGCATACACGCGCATCAATCATGCAGAGTACACAGCTTCCAATGACTTCTGTGTTTTTGCAAGTTTATTTGAATGGACAATGTGTTTTTTTCTTCAAATCTTCTGAACAAGTGATTCACACATGGTTCAGATAGTCCTTCATGTACCGTGAAGGGAAATCCATGGGCATTAAACCTGGAAATCCTGTAGGTCATGCAACAGGCCCACTTCTTCCAATCAATCTTGCAGGAAATGTGTCCAGAAACTGTCTTAACAGGTAAACCCACACGTGGCAGTGCGCCATCTTTTTTCCCATAACCCTCATTTAAAAATTGGATGTGTCTTAAATTCAAAGTAACATGGCATATACAATCCTTTACTTTTGCAGCATGTTTTGTTCAACCCTTGTATACGCACAAGCACGCACGCATGCACAAATACATGAATAAATAAATAAACATATATATGCAATAAAAATTCATTTTCACAGCCCAGTAAAATTGAATGATGCGGCAAAAGGGGATGACTATTTCTTGATGCTGGCTAAAGTCAAATGTCGCACTATATGGTAATGAATTCTTGTTCCAGTGAAATCTAATATCAAAGTAACAGGGTTAAACCAGATTTGACAACAGAAATGAAATTTATGACAACTGTATGCCAAACACTAATAGGCCATAAAAGAAATGACATTTCAGAACAGCATTAGTGACAAGGTTAAGAATGGTGGAGCTATACGTCCAACCCCATGCCCTCATGGCACAACCCTTCAATGATGCAGTCCATACATGGTACACCAGTGGTTTCCGTCACACTGCTGTCTGTAGCATATGCAATGAAGGGGTGAGGTTCAGCTCATATTTTGAACTGTTGTTTTTCGCTTAAAGTAATATTTTTGGTATGAAATTAAAGGGGACATTGTAGGCTACCATTTCGTATATTTGTTGTCCCACTTTGAACTTCGTGCAGCAGTTGTAATATATCTGAATTCTTTTAAAAAGTTTTCTACTTCACCAGTTGGTGCGCTTATTACCATACAAACCTATCTCTGCCTTGGGGAATTCTTATGAACTAAATATGTTACACTGATGCTGTGTGCTGTCCTGAATGGTGACTGAATGTAAAGTCCATTTTCTTTAGGCATATTCTGACCAGTGCTGCTTCTAGATTGGAATCTGTAACTACAGCCGTGTGGAGATGTGATGCTGACTCTAATAAGTGTGTTATGACTGGTATGTGGCAAATGATAAACAGTTCTCTATATGGATATTATGAATTCCCCTTTGTTCTATAAATAGGCATCACATAATTTGGTGTTAGCAGCCAAAGCCAGCCGCCAGCAGCAAAGCAGCCAGCTGTGTTGTCATGACAAGTGGGAGAATATATTTACTTCAAAGTGAATCAGAATAAAGTTTTATTAGTTTCAGAATTTGACAATGAAAATGGACATTCATGCTTTTCTCAATTCTGTGGTAAATGACAGAAATGTGAAAAGCACAAACGTTCACTGGGAGAATATGAAAAACTATGTGACAAAAGGAAAATTCCTGAATGTGAAAATAATATATAGGAATAACACAAGGAAAAGAACAGATCAATTGTCAATAAGAATTCAGTTAAATGATGAACTCTTTGTGAAATATGCTAATACTGTAGAAGGCAAAGTGCCAGGTCGACATTCGTCAAGACAAAACAGTGCCCCATCTAAAGAAACGAAATTTTATAAGCAAGATTCTACCAAATGTGGAGAAATCAAGACCACAGAAACAGTGTGTTGTGCTCCAATTTCTAAGGTAATAAGATACTATTATTCCTAATTTTTATAGGCTTACTGTGCCAAAAAAATAATTTTATAGCAATGTGAATGAACACACTGATTCTATATACATTTCTGAACATAGTGTGAAAATTAGAAGAGCAAAACAAGAGTTTTTGCCATTTATTACACTTTAAGTGAAATGCTGCATTTACAGTTTTAAACATATAAATATTCCCCATCCCAAGGAGTGAGTAGGAGTTAAATGTCCTGCATCATTGAAGGGTTAACTGAACACACAGGTACCTTTAACAGTGTAGCACACTGCATTTTAGAAGAGAGTTCATCCACAAGCAGATTTACATAAAAATATGCAAGAATGGATAAGAACAGAATAAAAAAAAAAAAACAAACTCCATGGTTTTAGTCCGCAAGTGAACTACACCAACCAAGAGACCGCTGCTTGTCAGTGAAGTCAGTGCCAACTTTAGCGAATGGAGGGTGTCACATGGTCAGCGTAATGAATCCCCACAGCCGTTAATTTCGGTTTTCTAGACCAGAGCCACTATTTCTTTCAAACAGCTCCTGAATTATCTTCACAAGGCTATGTCGACCCTGTTCCAGACCCACTACTTCTCAGAAAATCTGGCAACGCCGGGATCGAACCCGGACCTCTGGATCTGTAGCCAGGAACTTTGAGCACTAGACCACAGAGGCGGTCTGATAAGAACAGAATACCAAACCTTAATATAACATTCAATCCTAGAAGGACAAGAAATTTTGGAAGACTTGTGAAGAGATGGAACGACATCCTAGAGTCCATCTAGTCTATAAACCAGGCTATGTGTAGGCAACCTTACAAATGAAAAGTGCTGTGTCAGTAGGACTGAACTTCCCACTGACATATAAATACCAGAAGTATGCTGAGAATAGAATCTAGTTAAGACCATTCATCCTTGTACCCACAGTGCATGGAGTGTAACAGGCCACAAGACTCAATGCCCGAGAAGAGATGAAAATGATAATCATACCTTAAACCTTCTCGCAAGAAATTTGTTCTTTATCTCTAGGAAGTTTCCCTTGCCAACATCCATCTTGAAAGGTTCATTGATGATGGCAAATCGTATGTCATTCTGGATGTCCTGCCAGCGCCCATATCCATGAGTTACAATGCCTGCCAGAAGCCAGTAGTCATGTCTGAAAACATTAAAACAGCAAAATACATATATAATGGGTGATGGACATCACAAATTGTATGCTGAATTATTTTTTCAATAAAGGAAATGAGTGCAATAAAAAGTACTGAATCACAAAATTAAAAACCATATGAGATCAACAGTAGGCTCCAATTACCACTCAAGCATACTAACCTAGCACCAAAGACAGTTCACAATGGCTTAGCTATTTGTCCAGATATTTACTGTTTCCCTATCAAATTAATACAAATAAAAAAAGAAGCATGGCAGAATCTTTGAGGAACCAGACAGTATACAAATTTGTATATATATTTTGTAGAAGCATTTACTTTTCCTGTTACCACTGCACTGTCATGGATGCTTTGCACATCACATACAATCAATATTCAGTGTTTATGGGCTGCAAAATGGGCTACGGGACTTGCACAGAACTATAGGCCTATGTAATTTTACAGTCTTCTGACCATTATACTGTACTACAGAAGCCATAACAACTTGTCATGCCCAACAGACCAGAAAGAGAATTAAACAAAAATTCTCAACTGCACATTTACTTAACCATAGGAAGCCTGAAATCCATCCAAATTACAACCAAGTATTCAGTCTGTTCCTCACAGAAAACACTTATTCTCTGCATCCTGCTGGGTGTGATTAAAGTTCTACTGCATTTTATTAACTGTCTACACAATGTTCATAGATGGTATATCCATTAATTATAACCAACTGTTTTTATTTATTATTTAAGAAATAAAAACAATTAGTTATAATTAATTATTACACCACCTATGAATGTTGTATAGGCACTTAATAACACAATAGGACTAACCAGGTGTGACTTTTTCCTACATTTGACCTTGGGACAGAAGATTTAACATGTGTGGACACAGCCCTTCTATGTGATCCTAAAACATGTTACAACTGCAGTAAGGGGCGATAATGATTGTGACTTCACATACAACCTCATTAAATCAGCATACAAGTTCTGGAAGGTTGAAAATTTCTTGCACTTTGAGTGGATTATTTATTAAATCAAAGTTTACTAAATATGGGAAAATAATACATTTACACTGGGCTTCAGATTGGGCCAGAAAAAAATATGCACTACATGCAGGGAGCAGTAAGAATTTCATGGCACTGTATAAATAGCATGACCGCCAAGTAAGAGCCACTATACAAGCTGCCACCCCATCTCACCTTCTATGCCAGATTTCATATTCTCGTCCAGGAACAGCTGCTTTCTCCTCATTAAGCCAAAGTGTGTGTAGCTCTGTAAAACCTCCATCAGCAATATTGAACATGAACTTGCGTTTAGGTTTGTCAATGTCATCTACTCCTTTACCCTCTTCCTTCTCCTCCTTTTTATCCTCTTTTATACCTTCTTTCTTCTCATCCTGAAGTGACAAGGAGGTCAAAATAAAAGAATGTAGATTATTAAAACAGGTCTCTCCATTTAACTGATATCTCTTCAGATCCAAATATTACAAATCTAGAATTATGGATGGAAATATACATTTAAATAACCTGATAACTGGTTGGTTTGTATGTTCATAAATTATTAGACAACACTGTACCAAGTGTAGAGACTATTTAGTATCAAATGCAATGATGTGATAATGTGCAGTGAACTGAAAAGATTGGGAAGGAAGTAGCCCATTTCAAAGTACTAGCATGGCATCTGCACAAAATCACTCTTTCTGTGACTCAAGCATGGTACATCCCAAACACAAGTCAGATGCATCAGTGCCGAGTCCACATTTCCTTACAGACTTAACATATCACAACAAATAAAAGACTTCTCATGGACTTTGGGACTAAATTAAGGAACCTTTTAAACGGCAAAAATTTAACAGCGACATTTTCAAAAAATGTTTTCACAGCAAACACATGATGTTTGTTCAACCAGTGTTCTGTAATGAATAATCCCTTTAATCATGTTATAGCCTGCCACAAACTGCAGTAAACTCCATTCTCACCAAGATAAAGTGGCGCTAAATTAAGAATACTCTCTGCTGGACCCTGAATAACTCACTCAAGTTTCTGACCCAGTTTTGGCCCTATTCCTTAAGTCATTTAGGTATAAGCACCACCACACTTCTCTGAAGTAGAACACATAGGGTTTGAACAAACTTATTTGATCTTACATTTTTTAAGAAGCCAATAAAAAAAGAAAATACGATTTTACTGCACCTACCTTATGATCTTCACCTTCATCTTTGACAACAACGATATCATCATCATCCTTCTTTGACTCATCCTTGGGTGTAACAGGCTTGCTCTTCTCTTCATCTGAAGTATCTTCTTCTTTCCCTTTCTCCTCTTTGACTGGAATTTCATCAGCTTTTAATTCCTCACTTGGAGTACTCTCTTTCTTTTCACTTATATCTACCTCTTCAGACTTCTCATCCTCTGTACTTGCCACTTTCTCCTTGCCTTCTCCTTCCTTCTCATCAGTTTCTTCCTTTTCTGTCTCCTTTTCCTCCCCATCTTCTTCTGCTTCTTCCTTCCTTACTTCAGAAACTTCCTTCGTTTCCTCTTTGGGCATTTCTTTATCTTTACCTGGTTCTTCTTTACTTGTACTGTCCTCTCCCTAAAGAATGTGCACAGTTATTTATGAAAAAAATATAGTGAAACCTCACTAATTAGTACTTAACTAATTCAGAATTTGTGATAATCCAGACAACTGTTTTTTTCTTTTCTTTTCAGAAGTGAAACAAAACTGGAACCCCATCATCAGTTTCATGGAATCTAACCCACAATACCACAAATATTAGCTAATACTGAGGGAAATGAGTCAAGATGTAGTAAAATAAGACTACAAAAGGAGAGCATACACCAAAATATGTTAATTTTCTAAACACAATCTCAAGAACACTAAGTATGGTGGCAACCTAAAAGGTTTTTAAGATTGACGTTAAAACTCAAATGTTTATATTTTATGATTAGTAAATCTGTTTTATGATATGCAATCAAAATGAAATTGCATCGCCTAAAAAGACAAGTGAAGTCCATTTTATAACTTCTCTGAACATATTTTCAGTAGCACTTCTACAATTCAAACTTTCACCAATTTCGATAAAGGTTTCCTCCCAATTAGCCCAAATCAGTGAGGTCTTACTGTACTTATAGTTAAAACACAGGGCTGACAAAGTACATCTCAAACAGATTAGCAATACACTAACTTTCTACTGGACATATGTGTGAGTATGTGAATACCATGCACAGGAGATTTTAGATGTGCTTTGAATATTATTTATTCTGGACATGTGGACAGTTCTTAAGTGTGCTAATAAATTTAATTTCCAGTTAGAAATAATTTATTGTTTACTGTACTTAACTACTTTATTTATATGGCAATATAATGGTGGAGACTGACATGTGAGTTAAAGACTGGACAATCTCAAAGGGCCATTAATATGTGGCCCCCCTCCAAAAATAAACAGAAAATTACTAACACCATGGATTAAAATCCCGCAAAAATTCTTGTCACAGTGTTTATCTTTTACAAATTATAGAGGGCCAAAAGAGTTGTTATTACTGGAGACAAAACTGAAGCAGAACATGCAGATTATCTCCTGTGGCAAGCTGTTAATACCAAGTTTTCTGAAAATGTGTCTTGTTTCAAAAGTTATTAAAGACACATGACACATCATGACATACTAATTTAACTTGCAAGATATGTAAAGACTAAATAAATACTTATTCTTATTAAAATAAGAAAATTATGAAACTGTAACATTAACCACAGACTGCCTCAAAGAATATGTTCAAGAAACATCCTTCAGATTTTAAGTGGGAGGCGAACGAAGAAAGGAATAGTATGCCACTTTTTAAATATGTGTTTTATAAAATTAAGTAAGTAAATAAAGGAAGGGAAACTTGTCAAATTAGCCATATAATGCTCTGTGGTATGTTTACAAAAATGTAATGTGAACTGCAAGCTGTAGCCTTCTGGGTTATGGCACTATGCAGCAAGGTAGATGGGCACCACAGTTTGGGAGGAACACACTGTCTCCATCTTCTACCATATGACTAGTTTCCACAATTCATACTGTATTACGATAAACTGTGGAAACCTAAACATTAAAGGCAAACAAATGCTAATTTAAAACACTCAAAATAAATGTTCCTCTGACTGAACAAGGTCATTCATTCCATTCTCCAGCTGAGACCATGTTACTAATATGCAGCAGCACGAAAGAATACACCACAAAAAGAAATACAATTTCCAAAACTGACAACACAATCTAGCTGGAAGAAAAAAATTTAACTCTGCAGAAAGCGATGGGCGCATGTGTGTGTCATAGTCAGAACACATCAGGTTGTGCGGAACAAGTATCTTCCTGTGGAAATGATCATTAATAAAATGCTGGGAAGATACTGACACTAGAAGTGAAAGCAGTGATAGCAATCAGACTAGTCTAATGGAGATGAGTGCTTTCAAACTGCTGTAAAAATACTTTTACCACATAAGCATACTTTACAGATTATACATGTTTTGGTGGTTAGTATGTGAAATATAAGAGACAGGATAGCGCAGTTCATACAGTGACTGGCTACGGGCTGGTTGACCAAGGGGTCAGAGTTTTGAGTCCCGGTGGGTGCAAGACTTTTCACTTCTCTATGTTGTCCAGACCGCCTGTGGGGCCCATCCAACCTTCTATCCAAGGGGTACTGAGGACTCTTTCTCAGGGGGTAGTGCGGCTAGGGCATGAAGCTGACCACCCACTTCCAACTAGCGGGGTCAACAAAACATGTCTGTACATCCACTCCTCCATATTTCTTCATGGTGTACTGCTTGATTAGTTAAGCTCAGGGACAACTTTACCTAATATGTGAAATATGGTGAGTCAACTTTGCACTACAACCCACCAGGCGATGTCACGACCATATACTCCCACCAGTTTTCTTTCATTCAGAAATTGGGAATATTACAATTGCAGAGTATACAACTAGGAAGAATGACTGCTAAGCAGAGAGAAGTAGCAGCACACACGTTTATATCTCAAGAACATGGAAGATACATAGCAGCCGCAGCCTGTGGAACATACAAGTATGCCAATCTGTGAATCTGACAGTAGCCTGGAAGGCTCCTTTGATCATTCTGGTGAAAGAACCATGAAGCCTGACTATAGACTGCCTGAAGATTATAGGAAACTGTCTTCTGAGCCACAGACATGAACTTCAGATATCTGAATTTTATTCTAACTGCACAGGCTTTTCATTCAAGTGGGGATGAGAGTGATTACCAGCCAACACAAGTCGAGAGCCAAGAAGGTTAATAAAATTATGAGCTACTACTTGGAACCAAAGTAGTGACAGACCTACAGCAGGGTCGAGTATTAAATGATTAAAATGCAAAAATGTTATACGAAGGGTATTATGGTTTAAACAGCCACATCCTTGTCATCTGGAACCTTATTCCTAACTCACATTATCTTTCCTGAAGCTAACATTAACAATGATCTGATGGCATCTACCATGTGGAGAAAACTCTACAATAAGGCATGCAACAGTTAGTGGGGCCTACCTATGACACAAGTGGCATATAACAACATATCCTGGAGACAGAGACACTGGGCTTCTCCAAAATGCTGGGAACTATGTACCAGAATGTATGTCATATGTCAAAAGACAGAAGTGATTTTTTAAAAATACACGATTCACAAAATTGTAATATGGTGGAGTTCTAACCTCCTTATCCTTGCTCTCATCTTGACTATTAAGTGTAGGAGCAGGGCTTGCTGCAGCACTTGTTGCAGGAGTGGCACTGGTACTCGTAGTGGCACTGCGAGGCATCTCGCCACCTTGTTCTATGCCTGGCGGGATTACACCACTGCCTACTTTGATAGGTTCTATGGGTTTACGGATCATCTCGGGCATACTGTAGTAACCATTGATATGTTCAAATTCCTGAACCTGAAACAGAAAATACTGGTGGTAACACAGTGAGATCTTTACAAAGGTTGTGCATGTTCTAATGGTAAGAGGGTAAACTCTCACAGTGACGCAATCGACGGTGAAAGAAAAGCCTAAAGTAAAACTGTCAGTATCCCACAGCCATTTTAGATTCAAGCTGGGGGAGATAGAAATAAACAAGTTAATTCAAGACTTTCCTGCAATTTCCATTTTTTCTTTGGGGGGTGGGGTGGAGATAACAGCCAATGCGCCATATAAATGAAGTATAAATTTTCTCCAAATCTAAGTTTCATCCACATTCAGTGAATGAAAATCAATCACTACATGAAATGTGTACCTCAGTTTAGTAGGCACTTGCATTGCATCACTGTATGCTAAAGAGGTTTTGAAGTTTACAAGTCATCCTGTTGACCCTGAGCCAGTGCTGGTGCAATCCTAGTTGCCACCAAAAGGAGACAAAAACCATCACCATTCTTAAAAGTTTTACTGCCAACACAGCACAGAAAAGGTATTGAGAATTTTATCCAGATAATTAAAGGAAAATTAGAAGAGACCACTCCTAAAAGAAAAAACAAAAACAGCCTCAAACATGGAGGACAAGGAAAAATAGGAAACAGAGAAAAACAACCAGAGGGTGTATGGTGGAACAGAGAATGCGATAAGGTAATTAGAATCAGAAAAGCTAAATTGCTTAAATGGAAACACTCTAAAACTGAAGAGACATTTCTGGAATTCAAAAGGGCGGTGATTATTGCAAAAATAGACTGAGAGAAATCAAACAAGAGCATTGGAAAACTTTCTGCAAGGGAATAGATAAATTCACGAATTCATCGTACATTTGGGACAGAATGAAAAGACTATAGATTCAACAAGACAGAAAGGCAACACGAATATAAAGGAGAACTAGTTAATTCAGCCAAAGTGTTTGAAAAGCTATGCTCAGGTGTGGATGAACCCAATCAAGCACCAGCAGTCAATCATGATAATCAGGTTCCATTCCTGGACTCAGGTTACACAATTCAAGAACTCCACTTTGTAATTAAAAACTTCAGTCTGATCCAGCCCAGGACGTGATGAAACAGACGCCATAATTCGCAATTTGTCAATGAAGCTTCAGAAATTCAGCTACAAATTTACAATGCTATTTTAAGAGCAAGAGTGTTCCCAGATGACTGGAAAAAATATAGAGTATTTTTTATCCCTAAAAGAGACAAAACTAATGTTGTGTGCGCAAGGTATTAGAACAGATGATAAACATGCGCATCTCCTGGTGGCTAGAAAAGAATAAGAAATTCTCAGAAACACAATATGGATTTCGGCAAAACAAGGGTTGCACAGACAACCTAGCAATACTAATGACTGAAATAATAAAAGCATTTGAAGAATGGAACATGGTATTGGCCCTATCCCTTTACATCAAAAGCGCATACGACAACTTTGATGGATTGACTCAAGGCAGTAGGCTTCTCGGGAAACCTGTTAGCTTTCATCTTTAACCTGGTCTCCGTGAGGGAACTAGAGGCAAACTATGGAGGGCAAGTTCTCAAAGACTGGACATACAAAGGCTTACCGCAGGGTAGTGTTCTGAGTCCAACCTTATATCACTTTATATGGCAGGACTGAAATCCAGAATCAACCAGAACTACAAAATCCAGGAATATGCAGACATGTGGCAGTTTAGTCAGTTAACAGATGTAGCAGAATTGGTGTATCAGAAGTGGAAAAGAGTATACAAAGCATTGACCTTTATTTAAATGAAAGTGGCTTGGAAATAGCACCAAAAAAATGTCAACTCTGTATCTTTGATAAAAAAAGGGATAGCGGATGGAGAGTGGGAGATCACAGTACAAGGGGAAAAGGTTTCTTCGGTCAAAAAAATTAAATTTTTAGGTCTGCACTTAAAATCTAATCTGGACTGGGAGGACAAAATAAACGCAATAGTTAGGAAATGCAAAAACCCGATGAAAATCGTGAACTGTGTGAACTTGGTGGGGAGCGGACCCCATAATCTTAATGAGACTCTATAGGGCACTTATAAGGTCAAGGATGGAATATGGAGCATTTTTATTCCATAAACTTAACAAGAAACAAGCATAAAAGCTAGAGAAGATACAGTATATGGCAATACGCAGAGAACTGGGCTACAGGAGTAGCACCCTGACCAATGTAATGTTAGCAGAAGGCAAAGAAATCCCAATTTTTGGTAGATTCCAACAGTTGGGAAGGAACTGTGTGTCCAGGTGTTATACATCAAGCAATCATCTAATGATTCAGCTGCTGCAAGAATTATAAGCTCTAGCTGACAATCCAGGGAGAGGAGAAAATGAACCATGACTCATCAGCAAATATTACAAAGAGGTAACCCCTCTCGGTCATTTAATCCAATCAGGGAACTATCCCCCGGCCTTCAACTTCACATACAGAAGCCTCTTGTAGTAGGCCAGGGTATTGTTCTATGAGGGAAGACAAATAAAGGAAGCAGAATATAATGAGGAATTCAAAAAGATTTTCCAAGAAAGAATGAGAACCAGCAAATGTATCGCCACAGACGGCTCAAAAATGGAGGACAAATCATTCGTAGAATTCTCATCAATAGATATAAAAGACGCATGAAATTCAGGATATCTAACATAGCATCCACATTCACAGCAGAAGCATTACCAATTGTCGAAACATTAGAAATCACTGAGAAAACAGACTCGGAGCAAAACTTCATGATTTTCTTGGACACGGTAAGCGTGTTAAAATGAATCAGTAACTCCTCTAGAATAAGCAACACATCACACATTACACAAATGCTTAAAGATAAAACAGAGAGACTAGAATCACGAGGGGAAAAAATGCAATATTACTGGATCCCAGGGCATTGTAGAGTTGAAGTTAACGAGAGGGCAGACTTTGAGGCAAAGCAAGCAATCAAAGAAGGCAGAGATAATAAATTATTATTACCAGTTGCAGATCTTAAAATACAGTGGAAAAAGAAAGGCAAAAAAGAACTTCGCAGTTTTTTGCCAAACACCAAACGGGACAGAGGAGAACACTACTTTGAAAGGTACTACAGGACTGGCTCGTCTTTGTGGTTCCAAGAGATAAAAATGAACCGCTGTGCCTTCGTGTCAATAAACCATATGAGAGCAGGTCACTCCAGTCTTAAAGCAAGCCTAAACAGATTTAACATTATGTCCACGGCCGAATGCGAATATGGTGATGGGCTGCACATGGAGGAACATATCTTCTGGAACTTTAAACTGTACAAGGACGTATGGGCAACAACGATAGCCATTTTGTCTGAGAACAGCAAAAAAGGGTACCCAAAGTCAGTTATAGAACTCTTAAGGCTAGAAGAAAAAAGATTTCTGCAAGGCACCTGTTACTTCATAAACAACATTCCTATATTTATATAAAACAGATATGTAAGAAAAGGAAAAGAAGTAATTGTATTAACAGTATACTCTCAAATTTAAGTTAAGATCTATGTTAAGAACCACAGGTTTACCGCTATTACAGACTAAGACATTTATAGGAATGTGCCACAGAAGGCCGGATGAGCATTACCTAGGCCTTTTTTGTATTTATAATATTTTTTTCTACAATAAAAAATATCCCTCAAAATGCAGAACCAGACACACTAACTTTAATAATCTGTACACTCACAGAACAGACCAACTCAGAACTTCAACACGCCACTGCAACAAACCTAAGTACATATTAACTAAATAATACAAACATCTAAGAATAGTAATACATTCATTACACACATGCATGCAAACAAAATGGTTTAACACAATACAATTATTACATATTACAGAAGATACCCATACCTGACAAACAGATGACGTGCAGCTGAATCACCAATTTTATGAACCTTAAAGACTTTTAAAATTAAAAATAACAATGTGTTCAAACACAACATAATAAGATGACAGTGCAATTATTTTACAAAGAATGTATATACCTCATGATGGCCAAGTGAGGCCAAAACATGTTGTAATTAGATATATGAAAGATAAAAATAAGGGTTATGTTTAAGAGGGTGGTTACACATATGTATAAATGGCAAAAATATTAGTTAAACAGGATGCCAAAGTGCAACAAAATCAAATACCTTTTTACGTATGAGGGACATAACACCAATTCTTGTTAGCACATGCTGTCGACTGAGGCCTTCCCGAGGGACACCATCTGCAAATGTCTCAGCATTGTCAGCACCAGGTTCACAAAGGTGGCGCATGAACAGTGAAACATAGGCTTTGAAGTTTTTCTCAGACTTCCCTCGCAGGTCACGCACCAACCTAATAATAATAATAATAATAATAATAATAAAGGGAAAGGAGTTTACCAACTGAACGAGACCTTATATTAATCCACTGTATTGTAACATGGATGGACACAGCGTTGATAGGTAACTGACCATTAAACACCTCGCGACTGAATACATGCAAGGCAACAATGGGAGTGCAGCATTCTCTATGCAGTCAGCACCATGACCATTGCTATGTGATCATTCAGTAAACACATTCCAGCACTAGAGAGACTATTTTCTGTGTGGTTGGTACAAAGGCTTTATAACGAGATTCCAAATATAACCAAGGAGTTTTTGAGTGTATTTGCGAGTGTTTAAGTGACAGACACACGAAGTTCGTCATGTGAAGACTTGGCATGTGATTCGAAGACTTTAATTATGTGTAATATTTGGAGTGACTTGAAGCAGTAATTTCTGTGTTGAGATACATTACCCAGAGAGGACTAGTGTGTGTATGTGTGCAAAAGTGGATTATGAGGTGTATGTAACTCAGCGACAGCGCTGTAATTTGAGTGTAATTACGAGTGTGTGTAGCCAAGCTGCTAATAAATCCAATCACCCAAACTAGAACCCATCATTTCATCACGCATGCCCATCTCTGCTCTATATGAACTTACAATGGCTTGGTTACATAAATGAGAAGTAACCTACAGCAAATTATTATTAGAAGCACGATCACTCATACAGGTCACAATAATTAAACTATTATGTTTCTCCAGGGAATTCACCAATTTATGTGCCATCTGACAGAGAACATGGTGAATGTGAGCCGATCTTTTCGGCTCACTGCATAGAGGTCCCCTCTTCTAGATGGCAGCAGCGGCTCCTCCCACTCTTCACCTGTTTATTCTATAATCCGTGGCGTGCTTACGTCATCCTTGTGCCCTATGTCCTTGACTGTTCGACTGATGGGAGCCCTCTTCCTGCTTGGAGTCGTCGAGTGCGGACGTGTTTTCCCGCAGCTAAATTCTTTTTCGGACAGCGCTGGAATAAATTCTTCTTGATGGTTTGGCTGGTAGACTCCAGGCAGGGAGGGCCTTCCCCACCAGGTAAGCCTGTGTTAGCCTTGTGAGTTTTTTTTCTTTGAGTTACTGGAGGTGGAAGTATCTGGAATTGCATTCCTGCTTGCTCCCAGGAAGGAGAAGCGTAGGCATTAGCGTGGTCGCCTTTTT